CGCCTGGGGAGCAAGGAAGCAGGAGGATTCCTGGACCCGAGGAAAGAATGCCAGGCATGGGGTGTAGCTGTTTTCAGCTTTCCCGCGGGAAGTGCGCGTAAGGGCTTTGCTTGTATCCTCTTTTTGCTTTTCTCAAGGCAGGCAAGCTGCTGACTGGAGAACTAAAAATGTTCTCAAAAGATTATCGAGAAACTAAATCCCACCACAGGGAAGGAGACAGTAGAAAGACAGCATGTCGTGGACACCAGAGTCCTAAGAAATGGAAGTCACCAGAGCCAGGAGAGCAATGAGAGTGGGTAGGAGGTAGTGAGTGAGTGTGTGTGTGTGTGTGTGTGTGTGTGTGTGTGTGTGTGTAGGGATTTGTGCTTAGGAGGAAAGGGACAGGCCCAACTGGGGAGTGTTGTTTCAAACATGGGACAAATGGCTAACATATCAAAGTGGACTCTAGCCGCCAGATTCTCCCTGCAGCCCTCAGTCCCTACCTGTTACAGGGTCCTCCTGGCTCCCTACCCTGAATTCTCCAGCTCATAAGGCTGGGCTATTCTTCCCTATATAATCTGATTATTTTAGTTACCTGATCCCTGTACCTTTGGGCCTCCTGACTGCTGCACCTAGTACCACACACACACACACACACACACACACACACACACACACACCTCTCTCTTCAGCCCTTCCCGTCTCCTCACATGGCTCAGTCTGGTCATGTCCACTCTGGACTCTTCCCTGCCCCTGGTTACACTCTCCCACACACCTACAGTAAAACCTACGAACAGTCATGGTCCTTTCCTTTTTATTTCTGTTTTTCGTTCAGCACAGTTGGCTGCCACGGAGGTTGTAACATGGATAGTAGATTAACCTCTGCTAACCGCAGACAATGCAAGCACACGTTTGCCCTCCTATCCCCTTACCCCATCCTTCGGGCTTCCATCCGATCCCCTTGGCAAAGCATTCTCCCTTTGCTCCCTGCCTCATCCCTATTCTGTCCCACAAAGGAAGACCCACGCTGGGGATGGGGGGTGGGGCATAGAGACGGAGGTCAGCCAGGCTTCAGGATTTAGTTCTCAATGGAGCTATTCTCTACTTAGAACAAGTCTGTATCGAGTACTTTACAAGGTTGTCAGCACTGTTTGCGCTGGGAAAAGTAAATCTTATTAAAAATGGAAGGTCTGCTCCACTGGGGGGCCCAATTTGCATATCATCTCTTTAAAGAAACGGTTCATACATAAATTTATCAAAGGATTTAACAGAGTCCAGGAAAATCTGAGGCTAAGCCAGCGCTCTGCACCTACCGCACGCCACACAGAGAATCCAAACCTCAGCAAACAGCACCATGCGCACTCATAGAGCAGAGCCGGTGGGCATCCCAATCCCATACTCTGACTTTCAGTTGCGAGACCTTGAAAGTTGGATTTGTATCAGATCCTCCAACAAGGACTGAAGCCATCTCTCTAATTACACAGACTCCTGGGGAGTCCCTTCTTAGAGGATTTCATGGAGATTCTGCTTTCTATTCTCCAGGAATTCACCATTAAAGTGAGGAGACTATGTGTGCTCACACTTGCATCCACGAGGACAGGAGATAGAATCCTCTTTGACCTTCTTCGTGGTCTTCTAAAACAGTGGTGGCCATGACATATTTTAAAGACCTTAAATTTAGAATGTGCTTTCAAGGTTTCCAGAGAGCCAGTTTTGTTGACCAAGTTCCTTTGGTTCTGAGTAGATGGGCATTGTCTTGTGAAAAATAAGTCATGAAATGTCTAGTGCTGTTTTTTTTTAAGTAGTATGAACTATTTGTCAGCTCATGACAACTGATCAAATTGGGGGAAAAGGTAAAAACTAGGAGAAGGCAAAGTGGGGTAAGAAAGGGAGTAGCCCCCATTTTATAGGGCGGAGCTGGTTATTCAGGGAGCTCGTTCTCTCTCTCTCTCTCTCTCTCTCTCTCTCTCTCTCGTGTGTGTGTGTGTGTGTGTGTGTGTGTGTCTGTATCTGTGTGTGTCTGTGTGTGTCTGTGTGTGTGTGTGTGTCTGTGTCGGTGTGTGTGTGTGTCTGTGTCGGTGTGTGTCTGTGTGTGTGTGTGTGTCTGTGTCTGTGTGTGTGTGTGTGTGTGCACGTGCGTGCTTGTATATACTCATGCCATGGTAGACTTGTGGAGGTCAGAGTTGTTCAACCTCAGGTGACAGTCCTAACCTTCCCTCTTGTTAGAAACAGGGTCTCTTGTGTCTGTCACTGCTAACTCGCTGTCCCCCAAGCTCTCAGGGCCTCTCTGGTCCTGTTTCACTATAGGAGTGCTGGGATTACTGAAGCAAGCAACAGTGCCTAACTTCACATCAGTTCTGGGGATTCGAACTCGGGTCCTCACATTTGCACAGCAGCAGTTTGCCCACGGAGCCAGCCCTCTAAAACCTCAAAGAGAGTGTTTTCAAGTGGCCATTCTGTCAGTGTGGCCTCCAAGCTCTCTACTCTTGCCCTGCAGTGAGAGTCTTTAGAGGACTCGATGTTAACTGAAGGTGTTTTACAAAATGCCTCTGGCGATCTTGATGGAGCTGTTAGAATTCTTTCTGTTGGTCACCAGCAGAAGCTCACTTCCACGCTCCTATAAATCACTCCATAAAAGTTATTTGCTTCTGAGGTTTTATAGCCCCAAAGACCAGCAGTTGTGTGTCCCGTAAATAGACCAGAAAAGAGAGAAATAATTTGGGGCTATTCCTTTGGTGCCCCTAGGAAACCTCAGAGTTGGGAGAAGATTTGCCTCTGAGCCAGGGAAAGTGCTGAATGTGAGCAGAAGTTCTGCTGCCTGCTCCGTCTATCCTGCGGCTCCCAGGGAAGGGAGGAAGCTTTACAATTTCCAGTATGTCCCTCCTTCCCTTCCTTTGCTTTTATGGATTTGTGACATTATTCTTAGGTATAAGAGTCAGGAAGTATAGATTTTATATAGATATCTAAAATCATATATATAAATATATTATATATAATAAAATGGAAGCAGAAGTGTCTAGGGAGATGAAGGGCACTAATGGGAGAGAGAGAGAGAGAGAGGTGAGAACGGAGAGGTAGAGGAGGAAGAGAAAATGTTTCAAATGCACAATATGTGCTTATATTAAAGTGTCCTTTGTGTGAGCCGGACGAAAAAGAGCAGAGCCATAAAATGCTGTCTCCTGGGCCAGCCTTGTCCACTGTACTCATGAACTTATAGCAGTTTCAGTGGCCTGCACAGGGCCTACAAGAGTGGGCCCATCAATAGTCCATTCTGTCTGCCCTGACCACCCACTTCTGATAAGACATCCAACCTTAAACAGGGTAACCTAGAGAAGGGACGCTCCCCTCAGACACCACTTCATCAGACCCAGCCCCCCGCCCCAGGCTCTGAAATGTGATTATGGAGGGGACATGTTCTGAACTTGACCCTGTGCCATGTCGCCAGCCTTCACACCTTCATGCCCTGAGAGACCTAAACATCAGCCCCATTGCTATATTCTGCTTTCTGCTTGCTCCTGAGGCACGAGTTGTACACAAACCACATGCTCTTGCGTGTTCCAAATCACTGGACCTTGTGATACAGGGCTGACCTCCACTGAGGTGTGAGACTTCGAAAGGCAAGCTTCCCCACAATGCTCAAGAGTGTGCTAAGGAAAACAAAGGGCAGAATCCAGCAGGACTTAAGAGAGAGAGAAGTACATTTGGGGTAGAAAGTGAAGGAATGACGTCATCTGAATTCCACAACTCACACGAATTCTGAAAGCTGAAGGAAAGAAAAAGCCAATGTTTGTGGCCCTTGCATATGCCCAGGTGTCTCCCCAACACCCTGTACACTAGTAACTTTTTTCATTGCTGCGGCAAAAGAGCTGACAAAGAGGCAATATAAGAAAGGAAGGGTCTGTTGTGGCTTCTAGGTCCAGAGCCTATAGTGCATCATGGCAGGAACGCATAGAGACTGATGATGGCTGGTCACGCATCCATGGTCAGGAAGCAGAGAGTGAGCAGGAGATGGGACCAGCTGTGAATTCTCAATGCCTGTCCCTGTCCCTAGAGACCCACTTCCTTCAGGGAGGCTCCACCTCCTAAATGCTCCACAACTTCCCCCAAACAGCACTCTGTAGGGAGTGAGCTTACAAGAGCCTGTGAGGGGCATATATTCACTTCACACCTCTCCCCCTGAAAATACAGATGTGTCTGCAAGGCAGAGCCCAAGCTAGGGATCCTTCCTGTGCCCTCCCTGCCTTCTGTGCACCTCCTCTCTGGCCACTTCCCTCTCAGTGAAGATACAGCTGTCATTCTGAGGGCAAGGACCTGTGGCAGAATCTCCGGGGATCGGATTTGGATTGTTATTGCACATGTGACTAAGAGCCCAACCTCTATCTATTTAAAGTCTCAGCGGGAGCCCCTGCAGTGGCCCAGCTTCTTCCCCGGAGATAGGTTTGATTATGATTGTCTCAGCATTGGAGCAAAACACAAGAGTGACCATGTTGCTCCGGGTCTCAAGATCTCAGAATGATGTCTGTCAGTCTGGGACCTGACCTTTGCGTGGCTGTGGTGATACAGACTGAGAACAATGTAAAGGGAGGATCTCTCTATTTTGGGCATTTCAGAGATTTCAGTCCATTGTGTCCAGGGTGGCATAATAGGATAGAGAAACTTTCACCCTAATGGGCTGGGAAGCAGAGAAAAGGAGACTATCCATCCTCCACTTTCTTTCTTTGTCAGGGCCTTTTGTTCCGTGGAGGTTCCCAGCCCAAGGGATGGTGTTGTCCCATCCAGAATGAAAGTTCCCCATCAGTTGGTCCTCTCTGGAAACAGATTTATAAATATACCTGGAGGCATGTCTCACACATCTCCTTAGTTGATTTTAAATATAGTCAGGCTGACAATAAAGCCTAGTCGTCACATTGCCATGAGTGTCAGATAAACACCAAGGCTGGTGGCTCCAGGAAGGTTGAAAAGTTCCCTACCGTGGCATCCTTGAAGCCTAAGCTGTTCTGATCACCCTCTGTGTCCCCTAGGCTTGGACACCAAACAGGCGCAGGTCATCGCCCTGTCCTCTGGGACCAAGTGCATCAGCGGTGAGCACATCAGTGACCAGGGGCTCGTTGTCAACGACTGTCACGCTGAAATTGTGGCCAGGCGGGCATTTCTTCACTTCCTCTACACTCAGCTGGAGCTGCACTTGAGGTAAAGGGGCCCCTGGCATGGGCAGGACTGACACACCTCAGCTAGCGAGGAGCCAGGCGATGAGGCAATGGAACGGAGTCCCATAGCCCGTTCAGAATGTGCCATGCACGTGGCAGATGCCATACATAGTAAGTGACAAGCCACCACATAGCATCTGAGTTTATTCAGACTTGGAGCACCCTTCGAATACTGCACAGACACAGACGTGTTCAGTTGCCTGATTTGGCATTGCACCCAACATCTCACTCCGGGAAACATGCTGCTTGCCTCCAGGTTACACAGACAAGTTACCACACAGGTGCCCACAGGCATGACACACAGGAAGACATCTTGCCATGGCTCGTTCCATTTGGTTATTTTTTTTTTCAACTAAAACACTCGGGCAGCCACGATAACATCCCTCAAAAAGCAATTTTCTTTATGAAACTCAGATATCCACAAGAGCACAGGGCACAGCCATCCCGGGATCTTACATATCTTCAATAAGCTGTTGATCCAACCAGCTACTCAAATTACAAATGTCAATGGGACAAGACAGCAATACAGTTCTAGGAGACGCCCACGGATAGCAGGGGATTTCTTGCAAAAAAAAAAAATGCAACCACCGAAAAGGAGAGGACAAAACTGGGAAAGACACAGAGAACAGAAGGGAAGGTGAAGGACAGAGAAAGGGAGGAAAGAAGAGAGAGGGAGGGGGAGGGAAGGAGGAAGAAAAGGAGGAAACAGATGTGGCTGTCTCTCAGGAAACAGTCATTGCTCTCTGAAACCGAAGTTCCACCGATTGAGTTGAAAGACTGTTTGGTGTAACGTGAGATAACTTGAATCAATGAGCTTGCTCCCTGGGAAAAACTTTCATTTCGGCCATGGAAAGGTGCCAGGTTGACACTGACACTTCTGCTCAATTCTGGCAAAATTGTGTCCACTTCAAGCAGGGCTCACAGGTCAGCTGTTTCTACAAAGGGAAGAGGGTCCCCTCTGCAGCCTGGTCAGTTCGGGTTTGAGAATTTCTCAACCAACATAGCTTCTTAGACAGTTCAGGATTATTCATGTCTAGCAAGGGCCATCTCTCACGGGCCAGGCTCATAAATGGGCTGCCATTTGAGTTCCTGCCCCGTCCTAATCTCGGGGTCAGGCTGTTTTCATTGTGTGAACCAAAGGCAAATGGCTCTTAGAAAATACACGGTAGCCATCTTGATAGAGGTATTCAATACTTTGTAGGCCTTGTCCTACAAAGTCAAGTCACCCTGTCCTGGTGGCCTCAGTTTTCCCCACACCACCACATTACCAAATACATGGGGATTATTATCCATTCTCTAGACTTCTAGATTTCAAATCAGAAAATGTGAGTAAAGTCGTGTACCCTTGTGTGTGCTTGTGTACATGTGTGTGTGCAGGTGGAGATCAGAGACAAACCTCAGATGTCATTTCTCAGAAGCCATCTACCTTGTTTGTTCTGAGACAGGACATATCACCGACCTGAAACTCCCAAACAGGGTAATCTGATTGGCCAGTGAGGGATGGGAATCAGCTCTGTCTCTACCTCCCTAGCAGTGGGATCAAAAGCGCATGCCAGCAAGCCTGTATGTTTTTAAACAGAGGTTCTAGGAAATAAACCTGCATCTTCATGCTTGACAACCAAGCTGTCTCCTAAGCCTGCCATATACATTTTAACGATGATTTTCTGGAATGAAGGGGTGCTAAGAAATGTGGTCCATTTCATGGAATTTCTGATGTCCCCACGGCAGCCATCAGGAGAAAGCAGGCTGTCATATGAGCTGGAATCTCTCTGGAAGACACAATAAACCCCAGCAGAAGCACAGGTAGATTTGATCATGTGACACTCCATACACATTGCTGAAGCAAGCCAGTCACAGTGGCTTAATTGCCGTGGGCCTCCTTGACAGAATGCTCTTTCTTTGCATCTTCCGGCTGCCCTTTCTTATCGTTTGAAACCGGGTTCCTTGAATTCACTAAAAATGGCCTCTCAGAAAGGCTTTAGTGAGCGGCTCATTCACATGAACCTGTTAGCAAGTGTAGAAGTCACACAAAGGGGGGAAAAGGCCCAATATATGCCAAACAGACTCGAATAAAGGCAATACCTTAATACACTCAATTAATTTTTATCTGAGTCTCTGAGCAGTGCATAGCAGCATGATATATTGCCACATCAGTTCCAGAAGGCCTGGTGAGGGGTCAATTGGAATAGACAAGAGCTGGAAATCCCTCAAAATGTGAGAAAGGATTTCTACTGAAAACCCAACAACTCAGTAAGAAACATTCTCCAGCCCCCCCCACACACACACACCTCAGGTATGTGTTGCAGTAGACAATTCAGTTGACTTTGCCGAGGCTTGGATGCATTTTAGGTACCACACAGTTATCTGAAAAAGTCAAAGATGGTCACGCCCATCCCTGTCCTGCAGGAGGGTACCAAGAATGGCTGCAAAGGGCCTCAAGAACAAGTGAGCTTTCCCTCAGTGGGTCTGGATCTGCACTGGAGAACCAAAACTGGATGCAGTTGTTTGTGGGACTGAAGGAGAAGATCCACACATGATGGAGGGGTCCACTTGGGCACAAGAAAGGAGACAGTAACACCTGAGCTTGGAGGAGCCTCAAGAATTTCAGGGAACACAATGTCCATTCTGCTGCCTATGAGATCTCAAGGTCCTGCAATGCAAAATCATCACCAACAGGGCAGAACTTGTACAAACAGCAAGAATGGCAGAAAGCAGACTGCAGGGCCTTGCAGAAGGGTCTGGAAGAAAAACCACAGCTCAGTTGCTCGGTGCCAATGTAGTATCATTCCTCCTTGTGAAGGCAGGAGTGCTCAAATGTGGAGTTAAAGGCTATGAAGAAGGTTTTCCTGAAGCAAGAAGATATAAATCTCCAAGATTAAGAGGCATGGGTTTGTTCTAAATCTACCCTGAATGATTAAAAAAAGAAAAAAGCTAATTCTTTTTGCACTGTTTGCTGTTTCCTCCTACTTAGTTTGCTGGCACCCAAGCTCAGACACTGCTTAAAACCCCTTTTCCCTCTATTGCATATACTAGCACCCACTTAGGCTGCTTTAGTCAGTAGTGTCTCAGGACATCTCATGAATGGGGACTTGCAGGCACAGAGGACTGTGGTTTTGTAATGGTAGATACTGGTTTGTAAAAGATCTAAAATAGTTGGAGAGATAATTCAGTTTGTAAAGTGATTCTCATACAGAATGAAGACCAAAGTATGACACTCAGAATTCATGCTTAAAAAGAAGAGGGGAAAAGGCTGGGCATAGTGACACATGCTTATAATCCCAGAGTTGAGAAGGTAGAGACAGGTAGACCCTGAGGCTCACCAGCCAACCTAGCCTACACAATGAGTTCCAAACAAGACTCAGTGTCAAAAAAGAAAAATATGGTGGATGGTACCTGAGGAATAACACCTGAAGCTGTCTTATGACCTACACACGAGAGAGAGAGAGAGAGAGAGAGAGAGAGAGAGAGAGAGAGAGAGAG